AGCTGCTTTTGTATTTCGCTGTGAGACCCTCCGGCGGGCGCGATTCACAGGCGCCCGGACCACGTGGGAGCGAGGGGGGATCCCCCTCCCCCTCCTCCGCCGCCGCTCCCCGCCCCCACTCCCCCGCCCCCTTCCCCTCCTCTTCTCCTTAAAGCGGCGATGGCTCTTCCAAGCGGGAGAAGAGGCCCCACACTCAGTCAGGGGCTTAGGGACCGGGAACAGGAAGCCTGGCTGGCTGCGCCCGCGCGGGGGCGTTGGAGCGGGCGGCACCCAGCTGGAGTCGCGCGGGGCGGGAGCGACGCGCCCCTGGTTCTCGTGGGGGTTAGCGGTGTCGCGCAGTCCCTTCTCCTGGGCAGCTCCTGGCGTCCTGCAAAGTTCAGCTTAACCTCCACCAAACTGCCGGAGCCGCCCGGCGTGGATTGGGGCGGGTCACTTTTCTTTCTCCGTTTCCGACGGTGTGATTCACCCTGCCTTATGTAAATCCCTGGGATTCTCTCCGAGCCACAGAGGATGTGACTCCAGCCGGGTTAGAACCGTCTGTAGCAAACAACTCTGAACCGACATCCTCTTTCCCGAGCGCGCTCACCACACTGGTCACTACGGGCTTGTGCGCATTGAGGTTGACAGCTCCGCCTTTCCCGAGGGACTCTGCAAGCTGAGCACCTAGGCAGGCTCCCGTACATTCGTTCATCCATTCAACAAAGCGACAGTCCTCGGCTCTGGTCGCAGAGCAGTAAAATCCTCAGATGCGGTCCCTGTGCTCACGGAGCTCACATTCTAGGGAGACCTTCAGGTTGCCGTGAGAGCGTTACCACCCAGGAGCCGACCTAGCGCGAGTAGGGGTAACTCAGAGACCATTTCTCTAAAGAAATGATGCTGTTTGTCCATGAGGAAACCGAGGCACAGAGGAGGGATGGGGCTTGCTCAAGATCCCAGAGGTAGCAAGTAGAGAAACAAAAATTCAAACTGGGGTCTGCCGGCAGCCTGCCACTTGATTTTCCCTCCATCAAGAAAGTTCACTATTTTTATCAAGTTCCCAGCTTTTCATTTTTTCCCTCAGTCATTTAGCAAGACACTTTATTCCCAAAATGTGACTTTCAATTCAACAAATGAACCCCCCCCCATTGCTTTTGACTTACTAGTTTTAGGGAAGAAGTGGCTGGGAATGGAGCGGAGGAGGAAAAAAAAGATAAAAGATAAAAAACAAAACATCAACCACATTGTCTTCCAGCCACTTTTGGGTTCACCCTACCAGGAAAGCTCGTGGACAAGCACTGGCTGTCTTCCCTCTCTGCATGAGACTATGTCCCAGATCCAAACCAAGATTCCCAGGTAAGACAGGAGATTGGAGGGTTGAGGGTGGAATCTACCTCTGAAAGCAGGAGTTTGAAATCTGTTCCCTTTTCTGTGTTTCTTTTCTCTTTTTATCACCCCATCAGATGCACATGGGGGTTTTCAACTGTATCAGCTCATCAGCTGGTGCTGATTGTATTTTGTTCTCCAAAGAATGAATGTTCTAGACACCCTAAGTTTTGTGACTGAGCAGAGGCTTCCAAAGACCACATTGGGGACCTTCCAGAGCTGACCCAGTATGCCCTCCAGTGTTTCCATATTGGCTGAAGTGTGGGTCATTGTTGAATCTCTTCTGTACCCAACGGTGGCTATATCATGCCTTTTTATAGATCTTATCTGATGTTGAGGTTACTATGACCCCCATATGGATACATCAAAACTTTAATTCATTGAGGTACTGTCTTCCTGCTCTGTGGAAGCGGCTTACCTCCATCGTTCCGTAGAGGATAGGGACCGTGTCTTAACAACTTTCTATTCGCCTTACCACCTAACATAGTTATTGCACTAAAAAGGTGCTCAATAAGTTGAATTTAATTTTTTGTCTTTTGGTTTAACTTCTGAGAATTTTTTTTTCTTTTTAATGAATTGCTTTCCACTTGGGTAAACTGTAAGCAAGATCTCCACCTTGTGGGCATAAGTAGAATATCATCTAACTAGACGTATACATTTTCAACAAATTGGTTAATTAAGTTAAAAGTCTGAAAATGTTACTTGGGTACCATGGACCACACCATGTCCTGGGTATATGGGGAAATCCAAAGTAGTTGGGGTCTCTGTTTCTAGCTGTTCTGTTCACAAAAATGATAAATAACTATAAAGGATAATTCACTGTTAATTCTATGAGTCTGTCTTGTCTGTTGTTTTGTAGCTGCCTGGCACAGTGCCTGGCACTTAGTAGGTGTTCAATAACAATTTGGTGAATAAATCATTGGAATGTTAATGCGATAAAGCTCTGCAAATCACATGTATCAAGTCATTTTAAAAAACTGCTTACTGCTAAAAGATACAAAATTAGAACTTTCATTCAAGTAAAGAAGAAGAATACTGGTGAAGGATCCACATAATGTAAGAGAAGGAAGCACGTGACTTTCAGTCTGGGAGGGCTGGCTTCAACCGAGATACTCCAAATCGCAGAATCTTCCAGTCACATCGCTGGTATTGATGAAGATACTGAAACCTTAAAGCAGTCAGCTAAGATCTTACGTCTTAGAAGACAGACTAACTGTATCACAGCCCTTTGCCTGTAGCCACAGGACTGAGTTCCCTGGGTACCAGAACAGGAAGCACTAGTGGAAACTTGAACAAGTGCATTGGAATGCAGTGTTATAGAAAGCCATAGGAATAAAACAGAAACAAACCCAAAGTGGAATGCAGTTTAAATGCATTATTAAAATGATTATTTTAGACAGTGTTGAAAAACACTCCTGTGTTTACCTGGAAGATGAAGATGCTCCCATTCTCTTCCACTTCCGGCCTGAGGACAGCCCCCCGCCCCCAGGGCTGAGCCCTGGTGGCTCTTCGGGACAGCACAGTTTCTCACAATGTGTGACCTCAGGCTTGCTTCTCTGGCAGTTGTTTGGGGATGAGGGGAGATGCTGCCCATCTGTCCCTATGTAGCAGCCTATTTGCACCTAGAGAACTTAATCTTAACAGTCCTCAGAGCTTCCAATTGCTTCCTTCACATTCTTTCACAGTCCTGTTTGAGGAATGATCTGGCTTATATAACGGTGCCTCCTGGGAAGAGAGAGGAGGTGGAGTTAATGGCTGGACACCGGGCAGCAGGTGGAAGTTGGGAGATTCTCTAAGTCTGGTGTTTCCACTTGCTGGCTCTCTCTTTTCTGGCTAGTTATTCTCTCATCTGTGAGTTTCAGTTTCCACATCTGAGAAACGAGGATGATCAGTCCTACCTACCTCACAGGTTGTTGTGAAGTGAAGTTCATGTGAGGTATTACTGGTAACCATAACAACATTAGCAGCAAACACTGAGTGCTTATCATGGGCTTGGTACCGGACTCAAACCCTGCACATAACATTCTCCTTTCACTTTCCCAACAAGTGGTCTTGTCCCCACTTTACAGTTGGGAAGACTGAAGCTTAGCCAGTAATGGACCTGAAGTCGTACAGCAAGTAAATGGTAGGGCCAAGATTCCAGAATGAGGGAGGCCAAACCCTTTGCAAATTGTAAACTACTGGGAAAATGCCAGATATAGAATGACTGAATTAAATAGAAAGAGGCTCAACTTGGATTAACTTTTGCTTTGAAATGTTTTCTGGGGTTGCTACTAAGGGATACGGTTAATTAAGGGCATGAACCCTCAGGCCAGACTGTCAAGGTGTAAAACTTACCAAGCGCATGGCTTTGAATAATTCACTTGATCTCTCTGTGCCTCAGTGTTCTCATTTGTAAAATGCAGTAATAAAAGTGCTCTGGGTATTGTTGACACTAGTTATAACAGTTGTATAATATCTGATGATGAATAGTAATTAATTAATAGTAACAAACCTTACAGCTTATTGGGATGGTTAAATCAGTCCCTGTATTTAAAGCTCTTCAAAGACTAAGAGTTCATTATTTTTCTAGTTTAAAAAAAATTTTATTTTTATTGAAGAATAGTTGATTTACAATGTTGTGATAGTTTCAGGTGTAGAGTGATTCAGATTTGTATGTGTGTATATATATATATTCCTTTTCAGATTCTTTTCCATTATAGGTTATTACAAGATATTGAATATAGCTCCCTGTGCTATACAGCAGGTCCTTGTTGTTTATCTATTTTATATAAAGTAGTGTTTATCTGTTAATCCCAGACTCCTAATTTTTATTATTCCCTTCCTTCCTGTCCCTCTGCTTCTTTGCCCAGGTGAGGGTCTCCTCCTTTTCCTGTTGCTGTCCTCCACCGAGCCTCCCTTGGGTCTTGAGACACCTAACACAGGCGGCGATCCAGCCTAATGCAGCCTCTTCATGCCTCAGATCAGCATCTTCCTTGAAAATGTTGCTCTTTCCCTTTCCTTTGGGGTCAGTCCATCTGGACTAAGATCCCTAGCACAACTCTTGTTGAAAGCCCGGAGCCTCCAGCCAGACTTGAGCAGCTGGCTTCCTGTCACTATTCTGCCTCGTTCAACCCTGACTTTTTCTGGGTCTTCTGAGTTACAAGCCCCTCCCAGATAGAGGCCCCCAAATGCCCCCTTTTAGATGCTTCTACAAAATGGAGGAGAGGGAAGGAGCATGTCAGCGAGCAGAGTACAGCTTTCCCTGAAACTGGCTATGACACCTGCTTTAGCTATTACCAGCTGTGCGACTTCTGGTAGCTTTCTGCCCTCTCTAGGCTGCAGTTTCATTATTTGTGTTTCCTTCTTTACTCTGTCTCCCTCTAGGGTACGTTATTTTTTTGCTGGGGAATCATTTTCCTTTTCTTGATATCTCTCTATTTGACTATGATGTGAATCTCCCAAGAGTTGCTTCACTGATCTCATCCTAACACACCTGGCTGCCAGGGGCGGGTATTGTCATACACCTGGCTCCAGGTAAATCCTGTCGAATAGCTAGAAGGAGGCCAGGAGACATAATAGTCTTTGCCATCAACCTGTCTGCCTGACTGAGTCCCGCTTTTAAGAACACACTGTGTTTCTGGAAAGAAAGTCAAGGTTGACACGAGCCCTTAATTTATGGTGAGACTAACAGTCATATGATTCTTTTTATTTCATGTAACTCTCTTTTTGACCTGCTTTTGGAAAAGGTTCCTGTAGTCACTGGTGTTAGAGACGAGAATCTAAAGGTTGGAGCCTTGGTGAATTAATTTAGTCAATTTTAGAGCAGTTGCTGACGCACATCTCAGTCATATATCACCGTACCCTAGTTCCAGGATAGGATGGTAAAAGTTCCAGACTGGACATTTGGGGACACGCATTTTTTTTCCCTACTATAATTTAGTTCTACTGACATTTATTGTTCAGGCACTAAAGACCAAAGAACTGGGCAGAAAATGATGGCATCAGACTTTCTCTTGTCCTTAACACTTGCATCAGGAAGCATTGGCTGTCTTCTCTTCACCCTTTCCCTTCCTGTACTCCTTCTTAGCAGGTCTCCATCCTCCTCACTGGGCCTAGTGCTGGAGGGGAGGCTGGATCCTGTCTGCGCTAAACCAGTCGCAGTGCCTTCAGTCCCCTTACCAGTGTTGGGTTTAGGCATGGATATATAATACCCTTCTGGCCAATGACTCCTGAAGGGAAGTCCACAGGGAGGTTTCTGTTTAAGACGTCTGTACTGTTACAAAAAGACATAGAAAAGATACAACATTTTTCTCCGTGATTCAGGTCTAGAATTGAGGCCATCATCAC